AGATTATTTGCTGACCAGACGGTGTCATATCGGCAAGGTGACTAACTGTAAAGTCATTCCTGGTGAAAGCCTGACGGCCCAACATCGTCTTCTTGTCATGGACTTTGTCGTTACCCCGAAAAAAAGAAAGTAGCCGAGAAACGTGAGCCTCGGATCAGGTGGTGGTTGCTGAATGGAGCGATGCAGACCAACTTTCGGGCAGCGGTTGAGAGTCAAAATCTGTTGACCCATACCGAATCTGCTCAGGAAGCTTGGGATCGAGCGCAGTCAGCAATTATCACAGCAGGCAAACGAGTTTTAGGTCTTTCTAGGGGGGGACGGGTCATTGATAGGGAGACGTGGTGGTGGAATGACGAAGTGCAGGAGGTGATTCGCAACAAAAAGGCTGCCTTTAAGAAGTGGCAGCAATCACGCTCTCCTGAAGACAGACTAGAGTACATAGCAGCGAAACGTGCCAGTGAAAGGGCTGTTGCCAGAGCCCGCAGTGACAGGTTATCACCGTTATATGATACACTTGAAACTGCGGAGGGGCAGAAGCTCATTTACAAATTGGCTCGAGCTCGGGATAAAGCGACGCAAGATATCGCAAAATGTCTTTGCGTCAAAGATTCCCAGGGCACGCTGCTGTGTAATCATGCCTCTGTGAAGGAGAGATGGAAATGCTACTTCAAGGAGTTGCTAAATACCCAGCACCCGTGCAGTCTTCCTACCGAACCACCTCCTAATCTTGGACTTATTGCCCCGATAACACCTGATGAAACTCGGAATTGTCTTCGACGCATGAAGAATCGGAAAGCGGTGGGACCTGACAATATCCCGATCGAAGCGTGGAAATCATTGGGCTCTCTTGGTGTGCTCATACTGACGGACCTTTTCAACCGCATCTTGAACACTGGGACTATGCCACATCAGTGGCGTTATAGCTTCATTACCCCCATTTACAAAGGCAGGGGCAGTGTTCAAGATTGCGGTAGTTATAGAGGCGTCAAGATCATGAGTCACACCATGAAGCTCTTTGAGCGCATGATCGACCTCAGGCTCCGCCGAGAGTGTACTGTCTCGGAGTGTCAATATGGATTTCAGCCTGGATCGGGCACCTTGGACGCCATTTTTGCCATCAGAACCCTGATGGAGGCATACAGGGAAAAAAGGAGAGCTCTGCATATCGCATTCCTTGATCTGCAGAAGGCCTTTGACTGTGTGCCTCGTCAATGTATCTGGTGGGCTTTGCGAACCAAAGGGATCCCTGAGGCCTATATTGACATCATCAGAGACATGTACCGCGATTCCGTTTCCATAGTTAGGACTGCTGTTGGCGATACAAAACCCTTCCCGATCTCAGTAGGGGTGCACCAAGGCTCGGCTCTTAGCCCGTTCTTGTTCAATGTAGTGCTGGCACACCGTCTCGGCTAACATCCAGGACCAGCCTCCATGGCTGATGATGTATGCCGATGACATAGCGCTCATTGACGAGGACCGGCTGACGCTGGAGCGGAGAGTGAACCTTTGGAAGGGTGCGCTTGAGAACGGTGGTCTCAAACTAAATGTGTCGAAGACCGAGTACATGGCTTGCGGGAGCCCGGACTCTTGCACCATCCATATAGGTCCTGAACCAGCCGTTAAGTCGGAAAAGTTCAGGTACCTTGGATCTATTCTGCATGAGTCCGGAGGCATCGATCACGATGTCCAAGCCCGGATCAGCGCTGCTTGGGCGAAATGGCGTGAGGTCACAGGTGTGGTCTGCGACCGCAGAATACCGCCCAAGCTCAAGGGACTAATATATAAGAGCATAATCCGACCGGTTCTCTTATATGGCAGCGAATGTTGGCCAGTACTGTCCAGGCACACTCAGGAGCTTCACGTCACGGAGATGAAGATGCTGAGGTGGATGTGTGGCGTTACGCGGGCTGACCGCATACGTAACACATTCATCCGAGGTAGTCTTGGAGTCCGTGACGTAGCGGATAAGCTTGAGGAGAGTCGCCTGAGATGGTATGGCCACGTTGCACGCCGGCCTGAGAACTACGTCGGAAGGATTTGCCTTGATATGTGTGTCCCTGGAGCGAGACCCCCAGGACGCCCAAAGAAGCGATGGCTGGACATCGTGAAGCAGGATATGAGAGCCAATAGATTAACCACTGAGGATGCACAAGACCGTGCAAAGTGGAGGCGTCTATGTTGGAAGGCAGACCCTGGCTAGGGCTGGGAAAATGCCAGGAAGAAGAAGAAGAAGAGATATGTTAACAATAAATTGTACTAAATATACATAATATATGAAATAATTACATATATTATTTATTGCTTTAAAATACACAACATACTTAAAGGGAGTGGTGTCCGAAATATTAAAAGAATAAAATATATCATATAAATATGATATATTACATTATGTTCATTAAGTTGATAACACAAACTATTTATTAAGGTCCTTAAAAATACAGATATTTTAAGATTAAAATAATATTAAATTTAATTTGTTACTGAAATAAACTTTTGTTTTATTAATACAAGATCCTAATAAATATTTATTATTAATAATATAAAATTAATAGACTAATAGAAAAAAGAATAGAAATATACCATAAGCAAAAAATCATTAAATAAAGAGTGTCTATATAAATTGTAACCATACACAATATAAAGTAATTCTATATACATACAAAACAGAACTTAACCTGAATTATATAGAGAGCACAATAAAATATAACTTGACCGGAAATACTCGGTTTTAGCTCTAAAATATCCGTTTTAAACTCAATACAAAATAAAAACTACCCTCACAAATACATTCTCGACTTTATTTCATTACAATAGAGTCTAAATTTGTATAATTCAACGCAGTATGTTCTGTTTCTCAGCGGACATGTGCAAAATTAGCATACCTCTGAATGATTGTTCTGTCAATCCGTCCGTTGATTGTGACAAAGCTTTGATAAAACGTTATCTACGGAGTTATCCGAACTACTGACCAGCTTTATGAGAACCACGTTTGTATGCATTAAAATTATTTGATACAATAGAAAATAATATATTAAAAAGTAATGGTGGCCTAGTGGTTAAAGGGCCCGCCTCTCATGCATGAGGGTGCAGGTTCGAGCCTGGCAAGTACCAATATGATTTTTCCGAGTCATATGTACTTTCTAAGAGTATTTAGACACCACTGATTAATGCATTCCCAAAGAGGGTTGATGTCAGGCAGGCGGCCGATCGTAAAAACAATTAGCCAGAACTAATCACAACATGTATGGCAGACCCTGGCCAAAGCTGAGAAATTGCCAGGTAGAAGAAGAAAATAATGTATTAATTGGGTCTAAGATTTTCGCGAGTATTCATTTAAATGAAACTAATATTTTTCGAATGTACCTACTACGTGATTTTATTTTTGATCAATATGTATGTAGTATGTAGTTTGATTTAAATAATGTATGGATTTTTTTAAATAATAAATCTATTATTGAGATCAGATCTTAATCTTTTTGATTCTATGTTATGAAATACCTAATGTTTTTTTGTAAGAAGTCGATCGTGGCTAATGATTTCTATTAACGCGTCTTGGCTTTTGATCAAAGTACATATATGAACAATGGATTCTTGTAAGCATTAAGTCTTGAATGTGTTTAATTTCACATAAAAAACTTTGTTAATATAACAGAAAGCGCGTACGAAGTCGCAGGTGTTAACTAGTTGTCAATTAGAAACAATTCGTTAATAATAAACTATTAGTCAGTTTTATTCACATTAATATGTACTATTTTTTATTTTAAATATAAACTAAGTTTTTTCGTAAAATAACTGAACGATCGGAATTATGCAAATATAAAATAATAAAGGACGCGTATTATAAAAAAAACTTAGTTTAATTTTAATATGTACACGCAGAAAACTTAGATATTATTATTGTTTATATGTTGTTGAGTTTGTTTGTGTATATTAAGTATTATATTTTAGACATGTGTTATGTTAATTTTGACTATATTTTTATTATATAAGAAATAAAAAAAGGATACCTAATATGTTTTTCATTTTTAATAATGGGAAACTTTACTCTGTGATTTGAAGTCAACTCAAATTCGCTCTCAATTTAACACAAAAAGTTTCTGCTGAAATAATACTATTCAATTGTATTGTTTTATATTTATTGAATAGAGTAAAGTAGGTAAAGGTCCTACCTTAACTAGTATTACTTGTATTACTATGTAATAAAATTTCGCTTTTAATCTTCTTAATGCTTAAAACGAACTTAAGATTCAAAGTATAAAATCTGTTTATTATAAGAGATCATAAGAGTCTTTCTTTCATTTTATTAAGAGGATGTCTGTATTATAATTTTAAAAGTAGAAGTTGAGAAATTTAATATAATTAGGACTGGAAAATATGTAAATTTTATTAAAAAATATTTATAGTATTGATTAATTTTAAAAAATTTTGCAGAACAGATACTTATTATAAATTGATAGATATATTATATTGAGCTTTTTTAATAGGTTATAAAAGGAAGAAAGGACTTCTATTGTCCGATGTACAAAATGTTGTTTTAATAATACATGTATATATATATTATGAAAAATAAGAAAGGTTTAATTTTAGTTACTAAAGATAATACCATTAATAGACGTATTATTGAAACAATTTTTCTTTATTTACAAACATTTTAATACAATAAAATTTACTACGAACTATTTTTACAAATAAAAACTAAATCATTGGAATGTTCCATAATACTTAGTTGGCAAGATGCTACACTTATTGACTACACAAGCAGAACCATTAACTTCTTAAATATAAACACTAAATACCTAACTCGGCAGGACGGATTGCGTTCACTAATTTCACTTAATTTAATAATGAATAAGCGTAGATAATTTTACCAAAGAAACATTTTTCGTCGGGTCTAACTCTACTTGGTAACGAGAACTTAAATAAGACAATAAATATCCCTGTATAGATTTAAGACAGACAATTTGGCAGAGGTTCGAATCTCACAAGCACAATCACATAATCTATTGCAGTAGCTCGTATAATGCTGCGATGTATGTTTGAGCCATTTGGAGGGTCTCGTATTTGGAGAGTTGTCTGTCAGCTCCCAACGATGGTAGGTGACCGCGTAGTCTGTCGAAAGCCTTATTCAGATTCTGCATTCGTCTCCTTTCTCTCGCGTTTGCTGCAAGGCGGCGTCTTCGCAGAACTGCAGCACTGGTCGCCCTTCCTCGTCTCTTTCCAGAACCTTCTAAATCCAAGTCTTCCGAACTGTCTTCTAGAACTAAATCGTTCGGCATTCCTCTATATGCGATGTGTGTTGGTGATTCCTGATTGCTTCCATCCATGGACGGAGTCGGCTCCAAGCTCGATCTCCCGGAGTCAGGTGACCTTGGCCATGATAAATAACACTCTTCAGTAGAATATTCTAACATAACGTCATTGGGGAAAATATCTTTTTCGGTGTAGAGCAGTCGATGTCCGTAAGTTTCGGCGGCCATATCGGATGACTGTGTACAGGTGTGATCTCAACGGTATCCCGAAGGGTTCTGATGATCCCGTTTACCTGGCCCCCTTATATATTTTCCAGGTTCGTGTGAGCGAGACGGCTGCGTTCATCGCTGGTGGTGTGAAAGGGATGGCTGGTGACTCCGAGAGGGTAATTTGAGGCCAATCATCATTAATTATTTGCTCCCCGGCTGCGTGTGCCGCCTATGCCCTATGCGCTATTGTTTGATCCACTTCGGATCGTCGTAACAAACTATTTTCGCTTTTGTAATAGTTATATAAAATTTATTCAAGGTTTATAACCAGAATGAACTTAACACATTATTTAAAGAGTTGAAGTAGCAACTGACTTTAAGAATAAACAATCATATTAACCGTAACAAAATCAGCTAAAAATACTGTCGTTAGGCTTTTTATTTAGAGTTTTAAAGTGTATATCATGAATACATTCTATTTTGTATTATTTGAGAATTTTACTTATCTATAGTTATCCTAAAAATAAAACTTATAGGTGACAGTGAAAAATTTTTGCACAGTATTTGATATGTTTGTTCCTTTAATGAAAATTAATGTCGGAGTTGAAAATAAAGATTTTTTTAATATTTAAGTTATATACAATTATGAGCTAATAATAATAATGTTACAGTATTTCTTCTGTTTTTATCTTTAACCATAATAAACAATATATTATGGTTATAGACACTTCTAAATAGATCATATTTAATGTAAAAATAGCAAAACAGTATGCAGGTAGTTCAACAAGTTCCCGCCGAACGGGTCCATAGTGCATACGACACCGAACGACCCGGGAATCAAACCTCCACCTCTAGATTCACAAAGTAACTCAACACGCGAATGTAGGTGGCCCCGGATGCGTTGAACTAACTAATTATGGATGTGGCTTATGTATTAATTTTTATATCAATTTATTGCTTAGAGTATTTTTTTATTAATTTCTACCAAGTATTTCTTTATTTAAAATGTATTCTGTTAAGTTTGAATACTATTCTATTATAATAATAAAAGTAATGCCGCATCCATATTTAGTAGATCTCTGTGATGCATCTCCTTACTTAGGTGGTCTGGTCATTTTTAAGAATTTCGTTCACATGTATGATAAATCGTGGATTTTATTAAATAATATCGAAATAATATAATTAGTGCAAAATCAATCAAATGTTTAACAAAATTCACTAAAAAGATAATAAAAATTTATTTCGAGTTAACCGAAATAATTTAAAAAAACGTCCCATTATTGTGTCCTCTTTTCTTATGTCAATAGTACCTAATAGCCTTAAGTTATACTATGTAGAACTCTCTCTCTGTATCTCTGTATCTCTCCATCTCTCTTTCTCTCCGTCAACCAGCAATCTAATATTATTTTGACATCACAATCGTCACAGAGTCTAAATATTAAGTCTCTTTGTTTTTTTACAATCATTTTCCACTTCATTAGTCTTTCAACGCGTCTCGGGTTTCGCGAGTAAAAAATATGTTCAGTGCCGTGGTTGGATCGTTATTGAGATTTTAATGTTATTTTTTATATATTTACTGTTATTTTCAATACTTATACTAATTATATTTTCTCATAGTAGGATATATTTGTTTAAAAAGCCCTTTTTTATAAATTGACAGCCTATAACGTACCGTGAATTTCTTACAGTTCTTGCTTGATAAAAAGCTTATGGCACTTTTGGTTTGTGAAGTAATTTGGTGTCATAAAAAGTATTGTCATTATAAGCATATATGCTTTTCAATATTTCATAAAAGAAGACTCATCAATATGTTTCAAGTATACTTTTATGAATCCAAGTAATATGAATATATATGTTACAATATTATTATAGTATTTATATTTTTTGTTAATAGAGATAGTCGAGTAATGGGATACGTTAAATATCAAGTTTTGTGTACAAATATCGGGAGAGAAACCAAAAAAAAACATTTGTAACAGTATCTATTACGGAGCCGTTATCTTTATTCATTCCGGGTTTTACTTCCGACAGTCACAACGGGTTAGAGAAGGATTTAATGAGACGGAAAAAGTTAAAACTAACTAATATAGTTATAGAAATAATGAGAGATAAATATATGTATATATGTACATATATGAAAATAAATTAAAGAAGGCAAAAAAGAAAAATAAATGAAGAAAAGAAATAAGCTTAGGTAAATGAAGCTAATTAAAAATATATATTACATCAAATTTTATAGAAATTATAATAAATGATGTCTGTTTTTCTTTGGAATTATAAAATCAATTGAACATAAATCAACCTTAATTTTAACGACTTTAAAGAACTTAACTTTGACTTCTAAGACAAAAACCTAACAAGATTTTCTCATATATATATCACGTTTTTGTCAAGAATATTTAACAGAAAAAGTGTAAAACTGGTTAACTATACAAATGAAGTTAAATCACATAATAATAATCGTAAGAAATTAAAAATATATTCGTTGTGTTGAAAATACTTTTCTATCAGTCGTTAAGTTTGTTTTTCAGTGGCATTTGTTTCTTTCTTATATGTATATTCAGTAAATTGTTAAAAGTAATTTTTATAACATAATACTTAATAGTAAAACCTTCGCAAAAACTTGATTTTTACAACATAATAAGCAATCGCAAGTAAACTTAAATATGCTTATCTTGCTTTTATATGTTTATATGACAATTTTTTTTATTGAAATGTACAAAGATATTTTTTGTGTTTTTTTATTTTTAATATAGTTCTTTTTTCACTCTTCTTGACCTTCCATTTAAGTGATAATACTTTATTACTAGTTTATTAGAAGAATTATTTTTGAATTCATTTAAACAAGAAACTCTGGTTTTATGACTTTTCAGAAGCATTTTTCCACCTTTATCCCCATACCTGTATTATATGTAAAATTTATATACAAAATAATAATAAAACATATATTTTTTCATCAGAATATAGATAGCATGTCATTAAGGAATCAAATCACTCAATTAGAGGATTCCTTCAAACAATGGGGTTATTAATAAACATAAAACAAAAAGCTATCTCATTTTATAATTTATATTATTATGCTAATTCAATATTCGACCCCACACTGCGAGGATATGGCTAATTTTGATACAAGGTAATCTGAGCTACTGACCGATTTGCAAAGCAACATCTTTTATAGCCTTCGTCTCAGCTAAGTGCTTGGACCTAGCTTTTCTCCCTGACTTAATATGGAAGGAGCTTAAAGACTCTCGTATTAGAATTAGTTGCTGTAAATAAAAAATATATGCAGTATTGTAAAGGAAAGCAAAAGATTTTGGATTGAAATTAACATCTAAATATGCATTTATATGTACATATATATGTTTTCAAAAATACCTCAACCCAACTATCAAGTTTAGATAAGATTATTGTTTCTAAAGCGTATATCTTAAAAAATAATAAAGTGCATATAAACAATTAAACGTTAAAGACAAACAAACAAAAATTATAATAAAGTTACTGTCATTTTTTGTGATTTTTCAAAAAAAATGTTGTTGCCGCTCCTTCGCTCTATTGACAGTTGCAAGCTATGTACCTATTTAAAAGACTAGTTATTTCGTACCCACACATTGTAGGGTTCATACTAATTGATGAATAAGAGATGTTTTTGGTACACTGTTTAAATGAGTATTCTAAATATATTCTCAAATCAAATTAGGTATTGTTAAAGAAAGATATATTATTTGTTACAAGTTTTGTCATGATATGGAATGGTATGAAGCATGAAATGGTATGAAGAATTTGTTCATTCATTTAAATTTACTTGGACATTGTCAATAGCTTCAACTCTGTATTTATTTAACCTTTAAAAAACATAATCAATTTTTTAACAAAGAGTGCTATTTATTAAAATGTATAAACTTATCGATATCTAAGATTTTAGCTTGGTTTATTTAAAGTATATACACATATATTTTTTATTAATAAAAAAACTTTGTATTCACACGTGAAATTCGTACAGAACTTTTGATTTTTTACCATAATGTCTTTAAAAAGTATAAAAATGTCTGAATGTATCATTTACAAAACTATTAGCAAATTACAGGGCGGTGGACAGGAGCTGTTATATTTGACGCCTATAATAGACTCTTCTTGTGAGGTTTATTGTATTTTTTAAAGAAAATTACCACACATTTTTGTATTGTTCCGGTATTTTTTATTTGACATATTGAAACTACGACGGAGATTAGATATTGCATGTAACTCAAAGTGACGGGTACTTGGTTAGTACAAAATTTAGGGTTAGTTCTGTAGGATAATAGGTCAAAGGTCATGACTTATATAAATGAAGTAAGTGTCATTAGGATAGTAAAATTTTTGCCTATTAATAGATAGTATTACTGGGTTCATAGATTCTCGAATGTACTTAGAGCAACTTAAAGGGTAATCTTCCAGACTGTAAAATCTTGAGTTTAAAATGCTAATAAATATTTATTAAGATTAAAAATGTTATGTATCAATTTGTATAAAGCATATTTGTATTTAATTTTGCTACAATATCTGCGCCAGAGATTCAGAATAATCTATTTAAGCCCTTATTTAAGTTGTTCCTTTTTGTGTTCTTTACATTTATATTAAAAGTACATTTCATTCGTGTATTACATGTTTCCAAACTAAGATTACTATTATATCTTTTCAAATGTCATTGACATTAGTGAATGTGAACAATAAAATTGCTCGTAGTCTTTAGATCACTTACGTCCCAACTATCCACGCTCGCGCCGTTCTTGGTGAAGTTAGTGAAGAAATGAGAAACGAAAGAAAATTATTATAAAAATATATATTTTTTGGGAAACAAAATATTATTTGCGTAAGAAAATATTTCTGTTGTAATCTACATAAATTAAAAATATCGTTATATCTAAAGCCTATTTTATATACATATATTTTTTACCATGAAGATTTCTTGGTGTTAAAATAGCTTAATCGTCACCATAAATTTAATTGTATTTTATTTAGGTTTACTATAAAGCAACATG